AGCATCCACTGCAGACCTACAGAGAGGAACGCCTGAGCGAAGCCGCAAGCTAAAATGGCGCCTTCAGGAGTCTCGCGAGCACTAGTCAGCCTAGCACACGCATCGAGCTCGTGAACGTTCGCCAACAAGTTGCGGCCGTTGACGAAGCCACGCTGCACGGGGGCGTCAATGTCTTTCACGACCTCAGACAAACCAACATTGGCGACCCCAACAAGGATCTGATTACTCGTGCTTTTGAAGCCGATGGGGCGGGTGCCCCGACCGTGTCTGACGACTGCCCCCGCACGCTCGTCGCCTACAAGACCCCCTTGGGTGCGAAGACCTGCAAACACGAATAAAACCAAAGTGGCACGCGCTGCCCGCTCGCAAGCCAATGGAAAACGTTCAGCGGCACCTTGCGACCCTGGCCGAATCCCCAGGTAACATGCGGGAGCCCGTCGGGACCTGGCGCCGCATGCGAGATACGGCGAAAAAGCCTGCGGACAGAGCCCAGGGAGGGGGGGGGGGAGAGAAGTCCCGGGCAGGGGCAGAGTTCGACAGGCAGCTGTCCCCACCGAGAAACCGCACGCAGCTCTTCAAAAAAGGGGGCCCGGTACTCGCGGAGAGCCTCGGTCTGGCCCTCCGCAGAGGCGTGAACCACGCCCGTCCCACCCTCCATCACCCCTGCCAGATATCGCCCACGACTGAACGGAGACCAGATCTGCGCTCGCCTGCGAAGGGCCTGGGACTGAGCACGAAGACGGGCCCGTCGGCCAGGCGCCCGAGAGGCGCCTTCGGATCGCTGGAGCCGGGCCGTTTCGGAAGATCCGAGTGGGCGCGAGCAAAGGCATCAGGAGACGCGAGAACGACGGACGAGGGCGACAGGTCGACAGAGAAGAAGGATCGAAGCCACTGATGCCTTCGCCAAAGAACGTTACCCAGGCGAGCGCCCTGGCGCCAGACAGCACGCGCAAGAAAACGAAGCAACAGAGCGCGGCTATCACGCAGCCTCGGGCGATCACGCAGCTGCAGATCGCGCGCCGCGCGGGCGGCCGCATGCCGGCAGCGCGTCGCCAGCTCCAGCTCTGCCGGCGCCGAGAGCGCGCCAAGCTTTGCTTGGCTACAAACGCTTTTGAAACCAAGCAAGTCCTGACCGAAGTCCCCGATCCCAGCCATGCGCTCGCACTCCTCCAAGATGGGTGGGTAGAGCGGGTCGGACGCGATGCTCTTCGGGATCTGCCTGCAAGTCGCGCCACCATCGGACCCCCATCGCCTGGACTGCCAGGAAATCGCAAGCGGCACGTGGTCGGGCAGCATCGCGTCGTGGAACTCATGTGGCTCGCCGCAGTGCCTCGCGCATTGCCGATGCTGGCAGAGGAGCCAGGGCGGCGTCGCCGCGAAGCCCCTGTCGACGCGGGCGCCCGTCCTCGAGCCGATGTGGAAGTGGCCGATGTCAGGTGCATCGAGCACCGCGAGCGGGCGGAAGACCTGGCGCCGCCGCGACTGGCTCGAGCGGGCCTGCCAGCAGAAGACCGAGCAGCCGCGGAAACAGCAGCACCATCTCCAGGACGTCGAAGCCGTCCACGCACATAGAGAAGGCCCTTAGTGGAGTAGTCGACCTCCTCATCGGCGATGTTGAAGTCACCAATCATCTTGATCGAGCTGACGACGAAACGCCTGCAACATGCCGGAAGTCGCCCGAGTCGAGGTCGTGATTTTGAATGTTCCAGTGATACCAGCTGAAGCCAGAGCGCTTCTTGACCATTTTGAGACAGAGAACCCTGCCAGCAACAATCTCCTAGGGCGTGACCTGCACGAACTCCAGAACTTGCTGTGGAACGAGGGTGCTGACGCCATCACGACCAGAAGAGCCAGAAACTGCGACCTCTCCGCCGACGCGAGAGAGGAGCTCCTCCACAGCAGCACCAGGACCGTGAACTTCTTGAAGGGCCGTGATCGAGGACGCGGAGAGCAGGGAGCACACCACCTCCGCCTTGCGATGCACGACGTGCGAACGATGGTGTAAGAGAGCACGGCAGCTCCAGCTGCTGAACACCAGCTGGTCAATGTTGAAGAAGGTGTTACCCACTCCACCCGATGCGCATGGGGAAGAAGATGTATGTGGCAAGCCTGTCAAGATCAGCCCGACACAACTGAAGATCCGAGATCGCGCCTAGGCTCCACTGCACCTTCGGAGGGTCCGACGGGTCGACCACCACGCGCGCAATGACCTCCCAGTCGACTGACAGGGTGCCAGCCTCCCTGCCCATGAAGACGCGCTTGCCCAGGTGCGTTTGAAGCTTGTCACACAGCTTCTTGGCGTTGCGTTCCCGCGAGATCTCTAACCGATTGCGGTCGACACTGACGTAGAAGGGGATGCGGCGCCCACCAGGCATAGGCGCAGAGAACTGCTTCCGTACCCCGTGAGCGTCTCGTAAAAGAGCGCGGGCCTGCCGAACTCGAGAGGCGCAGGTGACCGCCAGGCCCTTGAAACGGAGGACGAACCTGCGAGCCAGCTCCTCGCCCTCCACCTCGTAGTCGGCACCAGCGACGTAGCTGGCCGCCTCCATCCAGCTCCGAAGCCCGTCCGCCACCAGGTTATTGCCGATGCCCCCGCGGGCCGCAGTGACGAAGATGCCAGGGCCCGTAGCGCTAAGTCGGGCCTGTCCCCCTGCAGGGGGATTTTCGACAGAAAAAAATAAATCAACATAATAATAATAATAACAACAACAACAATAATAGTAATAGTAATAATAATAATAATAATCATAATAATAATAAGAATAAGAATAATAATAATACTACTAATAATAATAATAATGATAATAACAATAATAATAGCAATAGTAAGAATAATGATAACAACAATAACAATAATAATAAAGTCTGCGGGCTATGTTTTGAATAGTTTGGCATGTGTTTATATGTCATGGGTATTTTTCGTCGAAAATCCCCCTGTAAGGGGGACAGGCCCGACACAGCCGCAGCGCGCTGCCGCTCTGCCGCCCTGGCGACGGGCCCTCGAGGCGCGGCCCGGGCCAAGCCCAGCGCTCTTGCCCCAGCTTCGCGCGAAGCGGTCGGCGAGGGAGGCGCGCGCGGCCTCCGCCGGGCCCCTGCGCTCCTCGACCTCCACCATGCAAGGGGCCCTGGGACACACAAACAAATACGCACAGATAAAATGATTCCCCATAGTTTCCCGTATGTTCTGGGTTTTTGTCTTCCCGCCCAGTTCCCCAATTTTCCAATGTTTTCTTGGGGATCGACGATTCATTGTGCCCCAGCTTCGCGCGAAGCGGTCGGCGAGGGAGGCGTGCGCAGACTCCACCAGGCCCCTGAGGCCTGGAAGTGGGCACCAACACCGAGACAGGGGGTTGCCTCCACAGGGGAACGAGGATCCTAGATTTCGGCGTTAATGGTAATCGTTCGGTCACCTTGGGAGCCAGAATATGACCACTATCACCGAGATCGGGATCTTTTTCCCTCGGTGGAGGCACACCGACGATCTTGGTGTTGGTGTCAACCTCTAGGCCTGCGAAGGCCCATGCGCCTCTCGACCTCCACCACGCGGGACTCCTGGGCCGTGAAGCGCTGCTGCATCGAAGCATCGAGCTGCGCGACGACCGGCTGCGCCACGCTGGCGATGGTCCGAGGGAGCTCCGCGCACACCATCCTGGCGACAGAGTCCGCCGAGGCCCGCGCCAGCTCCGCGAGGATGTCCTGCTCGAAGCGCTCTCAGCGTCTCGGACGTGCCCAAGGGGTTGTCGGCAGCAGCCGCCCCCGCGCGATCAGAACCACCAGGACCCCTCCAGAAAGGAACCATCCGATGTTTGACCTGCCAAGGATTGTGGCCTCTTGCACGTGCGAGAGCAGCAGGATATGATATTCCTGCTGAGTGCCCTCTTTGTCATGCGCCTGGAGACACTCTTGTTCATCGTCTGTGGTGCTGCCCCGTGGTGCAAGAGACGAGAAGGGCTATCATACCCCAGCGCGAGTGGAGTGACCCTGCTATCAGACGCTTTCCGCGTGCTTTGGCCATGCAGCGCAAGGTCGTGCTCAGAACCACCAGGAGCACCAGGGGGCAGCACCGCCAGAAGCACCAGGAGCACCGCGCAGGTGCACGGCCCAAGGGTCTTGCCCAGGGGGGCAGGCCAGCGGCGGGGGCCCGCGCCCGCGGCGGTCTCGGCGTGGGGGGGGGCCGCCCGCGGGGGCCTGCGGGGGCGCCGGCGGTGTCCGCAGGACCTGGCTGGAGGGGCATCGCGTGCGCGTCGCGCTGCCTCCACCCCGGCCTGCTGGCTCGCCGAGGAGGTTAGGGGGCCAGATGCGAACCCTACCCCTACCCCCCACGATTTCAGAAGGGGAGGGTGGGGTTCATTTCATTCGGAAGCTCCCGAACGAGGTGAACCTCACCCTCCCCCTCAGAAATCGGGGGGGGTAGGGGTAGGGTTCGCATCTGGCCCCCTAAAGGTCGGGCACAGCTCCAGGGCTGCCGAGTCTGCGCGGGGCAAGCGGAACATCGGCGGCGTCGCGCCCAGCGCTGCGCCCAGCGCTGCGGGAGCGCCGCGAGCTCGCTGCGCATCCGAGCCCGAGGGGGGGCGGCGATCGCGGCGATCGCGACGACCACCGCGAGGAGTGCTGCCGGCGGACTGCTCCGACATCGCGTCCGATTCGACGTCATGACGCACGTGCTTGTGCGCCTTCTTCGCCTTTCGCCCGCCACCCATCAACGAAGAGAAGACTGAGAGGGGGCGCCCAGCTCCCCCAGTGAAGGCGCGGAGAAACACCCAAGTCTGTCCGCGGACCAGCGGTATCCATGCGGCCGCTGGGCGACATGGGGTCTTGAGCCAAAATGGCTACGGAGGGAGGAGGAGGAGGAGGAGGGAGGAGGAGGAGGAGGAGGAGAGGAGGAGGAGGAGGAGGAGGAGGAGGAGGAGGAGGAGAGAGGAGGAGGAGGAGTAGGAGGAGGAGGAGGAGGAGGGGAGGAGGGAGGAGGGAGGAGGGAGGAGGGAGGAGGGAGGAGGAGGAGGAGGAGGAGGAGGAGGAGGAGGAGGAGCCGTGGCGACCCCCCCTGAGCGGTGACGCCCTCCCTGGCGCTGCCCGAGGATGCGGAGGAGGCCGTCCTCCCGAGCGTCCTCTGGGATCTGCACCCGGGCGACCTGAGGGGCAACGTTACTGAGGGGCTCGGGTCGGGCGAAAGGGGGGGACAGCAAAGGGGGGGGGTGAGAATCAGCTCGCGTAGCTGATTTTCCCGGCGCCTCCCGGCGCCGGAGGCGGCCATGTATCGAGGAAGGGGCACCTCCGTGGGGCCGAAACCAGCTACGTGCAGCAGATTTCGTAACCCCCCCTTTCCCAATCCCCCCCTTTCGCCCGGCCCGAGGGGCACAGGGGCGCACAAAGTAATATCGGGGAGCGAAAAATGGCACAAACATAAAAACTCGGAGGTCCGCGCGGAGTTCTCGGATCCGCGCTGGACCCCCTCCCCGGCGCGCGGAGCGCGCCAGGGGCGGCGCCGGAGGCGCCTCCAAAGGGGGTCCAGCGGGGATCCGAGAAATCCGCGCGGACCTCCGAGTCTTTCTGTTTATGCCACTCTTCGCTCCCCTATGATAGACACAAATCCCCGAATTCCCCACATGTTCCCATATTTTCTGGAGGTCCGTCGTCCCCCCACCTCCCACATGTGTTCCCAGATTGCCCAGGGAAGCGACGGTTGCTTGCGTCTGTGTGTTTGTCCCCCTCCTGAGTTCTGGGGGGGGGGCTGGCTCCGGGGAAAAAGACTGGCCTGGAATCGGCGATGCCTCGCCGACACATCAGCGGTAGGCCCTCCGATTGAGAAACCACACGCTCCTGGGCGGGGTGGGGCTGTCAGGCCCCAAGTGGCGAGGACTGGGCGCTTGGGGGTCGATGCATGCCCCCCTGAGCCCCATCCCCCCCTAAAGTTTGCCCCCTCGTCTTCGGGATCAGGACTCTGCCTCCCCGCGTCCGCCCGGGACGACCTGGACGCCCCCGAAGCGCTCCCGGCGAGGCGCCGCTGCTGGAGAGCACCCCGAGGCCGGGACGAGACGGCCCGAAAGCCTCAAGCCTGCCCCTTGCCCCTGACGACCCTGCCGGAGGAGGAGGAGGAGGAGGAGGAGGAGGAGGAGGAGGAGGAGGAGATGGAGGAGGAGGAGGAGGAGGAGGAGGAGGAGGAGGAGGGGACCCTGCCCTCCGGCATGTTGACCGCGACGACGTCGCCGACCTCCCAGGACTCGGCGTGCTGCCACTCGCCGGCGCCCGCGGACTGCACCCAGCGCGGCATGCCCTGCTGAGGCAGGCCGACCTCCACCATGCCCTGCACCTTGGCACGAGAGGAATGAAGGGGCCCCAGAACACACAAATAAATACACACAAATAAAAATATGCCCCATATTTTCCTATATTTTCTGCATTTTTGTCTTCCCCCCCACTTCCCGAATTTTCATATATTTTCTTGGAAATCGAGGATTAATTGTGTCTGTGTGTTTCTTTTCCTCCTGAAAAGTGGGAGGAAATTCCTGGGGAGGCCTTCTGAGGGGGCAACAAATCGGCACGGGGGACACGTCGAGCTGGAATCGGCAGTGCATCGCCGACACGTGGGCGATGTGACCCCGATGGTGAGACCGCGCGCTCCTGGTCAGATGGGGACGTCGGGCCCCTTATCGGCGATGAACGGACAATTTGGGGTCGATGCATCACCCCTCGTACCTATCCCACCCAATCGTTGCGCCTGATCTTCGTGAGAACCATCAAAGGCGATCGAGCCTCATTATAGGGGACAATGAGCTGATTGCGCCCAAGATTTAACAACACGAAACGAAACTGGGCAGATTTGACAAGGGAGCATGGCGAATGAATGCCAGTTTTCGACCACGGGTATACCAGCACCCGTTCCGAATTCAACCTCCCAAGAGTTGCATCCGCAGGAGAGGAGCGTTGGTGGAAGGGGGACCTGGCCCCCAGGACCTCCCCCGTGGCCAGCTCTTTCACAGGAGGGAGCACACCTGCATAAACATAAGCGTCCGGAGGGTCGCACGGATTTTGTTGGATCTCTGCGCTGGACCCCCTGCGCGCAGCGCGTGCCCGGCACGTCGCCAGAGGTGTCGCCAAGGGGCGTCTCCGCGCGGGTCCCAGCGCCAACGGTGCGCGCGCGCCTACCGGACGAATGCGCGCGGGGCCCGGCGGTCTCGGCCAGCGCGGCGGCCAGGCCAGGTCGCAAGTTGATGTTTCCCGAAAATATCACAACCCCAAGGCCCCGGACGAAAGAAACCGACACAAGTCCCTGGAGCGACAAGCCAGCCCCCAAAACGAGGCTTGCGAGACGCAAGAATTTGTTTGGACAGAACCTGCTGCCTGCTGAGCATCGTTTCGTCACCGAAGCGTCGGCGAACCCTGCTCCAGCGAGAAGCTAGATAAGGGCACGAACTAGCGAATTGGCCAGCGAGCAAAGAAGAAGCCGGGGTGGCAGCAGCAGCCAGGCGCGCAGGGCCAGAGCGCGGTGGGCGACCGTGGCGAACCACGGTGGCAAGGGGGGCGGAGGGCGGCAGCCAGCGGCTGGAGCTGGCGAGCGGGCGCAGTGGGGCATCACGGAAGGCGTGCCACGGCGCACGGAGGAGCAGGCACAACACTGAGCCGTGCGGAGGCAGGAGCAGCGGCCAGATGGCTGGCAGTTACAGGGGTACTGCGGCGTGACCGCCCAAGGCCAGGTGGCCAAGGGGCCCGGAAATGTGGGGCGGGAGGCGGCGGAAGAAGCGTCCCAGGCGCCCGCAGGCGGCGGGGCGGAACAGCAACGCAGGGAGGAGGAAGCGCGCAGCCAGAAGGAGGCGGCAACGCAGCCAGATGGCTGGCAGAGAGAGGGGAGTGGCGGCGACCGCCCAAGGCCGAACAGCTGCCTGCTGAACAAGGGGAAAGAGGAGCAGCAGCAGCAGCAGCAGCAGCAGCAGCAGCAGCAGCAGCAGAACGGAGGAGGCGGACAACGAAGGAGGCGGAGGAGAAGGAGGAGGAGGAGGAGATGAGGCGGACCTGTCCTTCAAATTTCCTGCTCCAGCAACCCCGTCCTCCTCTGACGGGGCGCATGTCGTGTTTGATAGAACGCCGTGAAAAGGTGGCTGGGTATACGTGATATGTTGCTACAGCTTGCTCGGTCGGATTCCGGCCCAGTGTAGAGTATATCACTATGCTATGCTATATGATGTTGTGGACGGGCTGGCGTGGCGTCGTGACGCCTTCCACGTTTGGTACGGTTTCTAATCGGTCGTTGCTGCTACTGTTTGTTTCTGTGGCCTGCCTGGGTTTGGCGCGCATGTTGCGTATGATAGGCCCCCAGAACTCGGTCTCTGCAGACTTCTACAGTCGTCGCTGGAGGATGAGACAGCTCGGCGGGCGCGTGTGTGGCAGAACCGGTTTGAGATGATCGCAAACATTCGCACCCCTCCCCAGCAGTCCGCACTTGGCCGTGCCCCGAGTGTCCGAAAGCTGTTCCTTCCTCCAGGGCTCTTGAGATCCACAGGGGAGCGAAGCATGGCACGCGTAATGATATTCGTCGGTTCCTCCCGAACACGCGGTGCCCGTGCTGCCAGACCGATGTCCAGCAACGTCTCAGGCTGCTGTCGCACTTGGCGAATGCTCGGCGTCCCAAGAGCAGGGAATGGATTTTACAGCACTGCCGTCCACTCCCTGCTGCACGTGAGGCAGGGCTTGATCAAGAGGATCGACTGCTCCGCCGCCTGGCATAGCAAGCTGGCCGTTGCCACCACTTGGCGGTGCTCCCCGCCAGGCGCCGCGACGGCTATGCAGTTGGGCGCATGTTTCGGTAGACCCGTGTCCCGGCAGCGTGGCCCATGGTCGGCCTCTGGACGGAGACGTGCAACATGAATGGCAGCAAAAACACACCCAAAGGGCGTCACATCTGCGCCGCCGATGCGAGGCGCCTCGAGATGCCACCTCAAGACACGGCCACTGGCACAACCCCCACTTGGCCGCCGGCCTCAAGCAGCGGAGACCTCACTGCCCGAGGACTTTAGTTCCCGCGCCCACCCCCTGTTCTTGACACATCCCGCCCTCTGCAGAATGATGCAAAGTCTCTTTCGCTCCCGAGGAACTGCTGTCAGTCTTCGCTTCCACTCCGTCAGCACACTCAGGCCACCGCAGTGGGGAACGCCAATCAAGGAACGAGGCCCCTTCTTGGCAACAAGGAGACTCTGGGTGCACGAGGAGGGCTAGAATTAGGTCGGGCCTGTCCCCCTACAGGGTGCTTTTGGATGAAAAATTTAAAATTGCCAAAACAAAAAATCCCAAATTTTCACAACAAACATTTGTTTTGCTTTTGTTTTTCATAATTCATAAAATCGTCCCCTGAGTGTTGTTTGACTAGTTTTGAATATTCCTCCTGTAGAAGGACGTGCCCGACTTAAGGCTAGAGGAACGACCACGGAATGGCCTGCGGAACGGCGCGCCCCTTCCGAACCCACAACGGCCCGTGCCTCAGCGACTCGACTGCACCCGCTCCGATCATCGCTTTTCCTCCCGGGACTTCACCCCGGGCTCCTGTCCAAGGTGTACCTTTTCCTGCACGTCATGTCTCCGCCCGCTCTCGGCCGCGTGAGGCCCCGCCCGCCCTCGCCCCCTCTCTGTCAATTAAAGCTGGGCGCGTCCCGCGGAGCTTTTAGCGGAAGAGGCTCGCTCTCGCCCTGAAGATCAAAAACTGTACCCGCTCCGATCGTCCCGACCCGTGCCAGGCGCCTCCAGCCTCTGGCCGCCGACTGCACCGCCTGGCACGGGCACGTGCAGGAGGCCGAACTCGGTCTGGACCGTCAGGGTGTCGCCCTCGCTCGGCGACACGGACGCGGGCAGCTGCACGACGACGGCTGGAGGCACGCCCTCGGCCCAGACCTCCCTGAGACGAAGCCAGGACAAGGAACCAATCGGGTGAGGAGAAGTCGAGAGTCTCTGAGATCCGGCGCCTCGGGTCCCGAGGCGCCGGATCTCAGGCGTCTCAGGCGCCGCGGCCCTCTCAGAGCGTTCGGAAACGCTCCTGGATGGATTTATCTTCGTCGTCCTAGCCCCGTCCGACTCCCACGTGCTGGAACACACTCGATTTGTCGCGGCGCAGGCGGTCGCAAGGCGACGCAGAGGCCGAGGTCGGGCTTTGCGAGGTGGCGGATGCGCACCGACGGGGCGCCGATGATCCTCAACACGCGTGCTGGCGCCAACGTGCGCTTGTCCGCCAGAACCTGTCAAAACTCGAGGCAGGCGGCACAACGAAGGCCGACGCAGGCTGCGTGTTCTTGGCGGAGCTGGGCGGGAAGGCAACACACACACACACACACACACAAACACACACACACACACACAAACAAACAAACAACACACACAAACACAAACACACACACACACACACACGAACACACACACACACACACAAACACAAACACACACACACACACACAAACACACACACAAACACACACTCGCACACTGGGCCGACACACGTCTTGAGGATCATCGGAGCCAAGAATCGGACGGGGGAAAGGGCCGCGGAGAGGGGACAGAGAGCGGGAACTGCGGTCAGCACGTGAAGAACGTGACGCTGGTGCTGAACGTGTCGAAACGCACACGCAAACACACGCACACACACACACACACACACACACACACACACAGACACACACACACACACACGCACACACGCACACACACACACACGCACACACACACACACACACTTGTGCTCCGCCGCGGCTGGCTGGGCCAGAGCTCAGTGCTCTGGGGCGGGACACGCTTAAATCAAGTACCAGCAGGCGTTGCTGGTGGACGGTCGGGACGCGGCTGACGCTTGCATTCGAAAAAGGCTGGAATCGGTGCACAGGGGAGGCGCCGGGGCCAGGCGAGCCAGGGCGAAGAGGTAGACGTGCAAGTGCACGAAGTGCCCCAGAACGCGACATCAGAGTCGACAGACCGAAGAGCGCGAGCGAGGCGGAAGGGGTTGCGAGCCAGCGCCTGGACGTCCCTTCTCCGTGCATGCTTCGGCTTCGTGCGATGACTGTTCGCTGTAGATGGTCCTAGATGCGCTCCACGATGCTCCGCGCCGAGAAAAACTGCGCACGCCCGAGCGATGCCAAGGCTGTTGGCGAACACACACACACACACGCATACAGTCAACGGCCTGACCTAAGGAACGAGAAATGAGGAACGAAGCCCCCCTTTTTCCAGGGAGGAACGCATAAGGAACGAGACAACAGTACGAACAAACGCATGAGGAAAGATAAATGGCGCATGCGAACCTAAAGAACGACCGAGCCCCTTTTGAGAAGTAAGTGTTCCTTGCTCAAGCCGCTCACTATACGCTTTGTCCGCCAGCGGCCGAGCGCCGTCGCTGCGGCGAGAGCCGCTCGTCACGGGACGCGCGCTGGAGCGCACAGCTCCACTGGACGTCTCGGGCGGCGGACGGCGCCCGCGCCAGGCAGGTGGGCGTGCGAGTCTCAGGCCGGGCAGGTCCCCCTACGGGCGGATTCTGGACGAAGGATACGACATGTTACTCTCAAACAAAAAATCAAACATGGTCGAACAGATGCTCTAAAAATGGTCCCCTGACTGGTTGATGGCTATCTTGGGAGTACTCCCCCCTGCAGAGGGACAGGCCCGACGGAATGCGCGCCGCAGCAAAAAAAAGCGCATATCTCTATCTGGGCTGCGGCCGCGCGGCTGCAGGCAGCACTCGAGCGACGGAGGCGGCGGGAGGCGGAGGGGGCGCGGGGGGCGCGGGGGAGACCGCGCTCCGAGCACGCCGGCCCCGCTCGCCGAGTGCCCGAGGCGTGCACCGCGAGGCGGAAGTCCTGCGAACACACGCTTTCCGATCCGCGCGTCGAGAGCGCACCTCTTCCGGTCGAAGCTTAAGCGGGCCGCGCGAAGCTTGACTGAGGCAGAGAAGAGGAGGGGGGAAGCGGCGGAGCCTCAGAGCGAGGAAGTCCTACGAGCACACACGACAGGGGGCTCGACGCTGGCGGCCCTCGGGGCCCCTCGCCGTCGCCGGGCCTGAGGACCCCCACAGACAGGGCCCAGGATGAGGAAGCGGCCCCGGGAGGAGGGCACGCACAGACTCCCAGGGACCCCGCAGGTGACAAAAGGCATCGGGCTCCCGGAAAGGGGGCACATACTGAGCATGTTCTTAGGGCGGAGGGCTCAGGGTGGAATCCAGATGGGCATTTGCACCTCGAAAATCAATTCGTCTTGTGACTCACCTTTTGCATACTCCACCTCGAAGATCCATCGAAACGGCACTTCAGATCTCCCCCTTTGCCCTCCACCCAACGACAACGCTCGGACATGGTCGCGAGAGGCCCCGTGTTTGGCAACGAGAGAGCACGGGTGCGCGAGGAGGGCTCGAGGAGCAGTCATCTCCATGGGCCGGGAGGAACAGCGAGCCCCTGCCGCGCCCGAAGCGGTCCTCGCTTCGGCCCCTCGCGGCTGTCAGCGCGAGAGGGGGGGGGGGGACGAAGAGGGGGGGGGGGCTGCGAACGAAGGTCAGGGGCCTCGTCAGAGGGGGCCCAGAGGCTTTGGGGAGGTGTCCTCGGCTGCACGCAAGAGTGGCCCTGGGTGAGAGAGACCTTTGGCGCGCGGCTTTTGGGGGGCCGCGTGGGGACCAAACCTGGGCGCGCAAGCCGTTGCTCCTGCTTCGTTTTCAGCCATCTTGGGACCCATCTGTGCCCGCATCAAAGAGGTCACTCCGGCGAAAGGTCACTCTTACGTCTAGTCGATATCCTCGGAGGCCCCCGGGGGGAAGGGCGGGCTTCCAGGCAGGCCCTGCCCTCCCAGGTGCAGTCCTCCCGCGGGGCTGCGCGCAGGCAGTGCCCCTCGCGCCGCCCCCTGGTGCGAGCTGGCCTGGCTGCCCGGCCGAACCGGGCCTCTGGAGGCCCTGTGGGCCGATTCGGGCACCCCTGGCCCGGCACGCTGTCGGCGAGGAGGAGGAGGAGGAGGAGGAGGAGGAGGAGGAGGAGGAGGAGGAGGAGGAGGAGGAGGAGGAGGAGGAGGAGGAGGAGGAGAGGAGGAGGAGGAGGAGGAGGAGGAGGAGAGGGAGCCCGAAGCCAGGAAGCCGCCAAGAGCCGACGCAAACTTCCGAGCAGCAAGCCGGAGACATTCAGTGCTTCCGGATCCGCCCCCTTGTTGAGGGGAGCGATGCCGGGGGGACTAGCTCGGGGGGGGGGAAGCCTTGCCCGGGAAGCAGCGGTACACCGCCGATGGATCGACGATGGGCTCTCGGTAACGAGGCCGCACAGAGTCCTGGGCGGGGTGGGCCGTCAGATCTGGACTGCAGAAGAACCGCCCTCACCACAACAATGGGCATGACGATAACAAGCACTCCGACAATCGAAGCCGCTCAGCAAGCGAACCCAAGAGAAGGATTGAAAGCACAGCAGGGCCCTGTCGAAAACAAGGCCCAAGGCCGTTCAGTAAACGCCGATTCTGGGGGTCGGGGTGGTTCTTCTTCCCGTAACAATCGGCGATGAATGGGCGTTTCGGGGTCGTCGCACTCCTCCCCTGAGCATACCTCCCCCTGCCGCTGTCCCCTGGCGTTCGGGCCATACCTCCGCTCGCTGGCGGCCGCTCGGGACGATCCAGCCCCCCCCCAAACGCCGTCGGCGAGACGCAGCTGCTGACAAGCATCCCAAGGCTGGGAACCCTCCACGAAGCAGCGATGAACCGAGCAAATTCGCCCGAAGACATCCAAACTTCCGAACCCAGACGTCCGATGTCTTGATTTGCTCGATGCGCCGTCCCCAGAAGATGGCTCTTGTGTTCTCTCCGTGCAACGGTGGTTCCAAAGGGGGGGGGGGGGGTGCAACGGTGGTTCCAAAGGGGGCCGCCGTCTCGTGCTTGTGGGCCCTGGGCATCGTGGTGTGGTGGGGGACTTGCCAGAGCAGGGGTTGATACTGCAATCGCATAGCCCGCGCCTCACTCCTCCTCCTCCTCCTTCCTCCCTCCTCCTCCTCCCCTCCTCCTCCTCCTCCTCCTCCTCCTCCTCCTCCTCCTCCTCCTCCTCCTCATCCTCATCCTCCTCCTCCTCCTCCTCCTCTTCCTCCCCCTCCTCCTCCTCCTCCTCCTCCTCCTCCCCCTCCTCCTGACAGGCCGCTCCCATCTTTGTCCGAGCCTCGACTCTCTGGGAGGCCTGGGGTGCGCGCCGCCAAGCATGGGCGCCGAGTCGACCTCCTCCTCCTGCGCTTCGAGCGTGGGCGGCGGCCGCTGCGGGGCCGCCGCCTCCGCGGCGGCGCCCGCGGGGGCCGAGCGGCCCGCCCGGCCAGCGGGCGCCCGGGGGTCCGGGGACCACTCCGTCACCTGAGGAAGGCGCCGTGACGAGGCTCCGAGGCCCCGGCTCCGCCGTCCTGGAGGGCCGAGGCTCGGACACACCCACAGACACACACAGACACGCAGACACGCAGACACTCGGACATTCAGACACACAGACACGCAGACACACAGACACACAGACACACAGAAAGACAGAAAGACAGGCACACAGGCACACAGACACACAGACACACAGACACACGGGCACACGGACACACAGGCACACGGACACACGGACACACAGACACACGGACACACAGACACACAGCCCGACCTGGAGCCAACTGGGAGTGGCCGGCTGCTGCCCACGTATGCGGCCCCTCCACGGGCCCCGGGACCGGCCAGAAAGGACCCGCGGGAGGGAAGCCAGCCTGGCCCAGAGGTCCGAGGCTGCCACAACATTGGAGCGGCCGGTTGCTGCCCATGTCCGGCCCATGACCCCCAGGGATCCAGGCATCGAAAAGTCTGGAGCGCCGGAAGTCTCGGTCTCCACTGAGGAAGGCCGGGGGGTCAGGTCTGCAGAACACCCCAAACGGACGCCGAGGGGCGCAACCAACCTGTTCGGTCAAGCTGAATTTGATGCACCACAA